ATTCTCAGACATTCCAACGTTCAAACAAGACTAGGAGTATGCGAAAATTGCATGCAAAATGCCTTATCGATCCTCGAACACATCCAGGATTACGAGCACCGCTACGGCGATATGACTGATGCTGTCGCACAGGTGCTAATTTCCACAGCGATCTTGCACAGAAAAGGTATAAAGTAGCATTCTTTCAGGTCTTCACGTTATACCTGCGTCAGAGAGCACGACGAAGTCGAAATCGTCGGCAAGCAGTGGCACATTACGACTACCACGCGCCGAACAAACTCTTATCCACCAGCTCTGGGCGCTGCCATCTTAGCGGTGACATCACGACTCTTGCGAGGTCACGTGACGAGTAGTCACTCGGTTGCTAAAGAAACGGAGCCAGCTCAGCTCGTTGCTATGGTACCGCGTGTGACCAATCACGGTGAGAGGCGGCACAGGGAAAAGCGTGGCGCTACTCTGGCAGCTACGCTGCCATATCGAGTGGCTCGAGGCCTAGTTATTGGCCGCACCGACACAGTGCTCCTCGAGCAGTAAAAGAAAACGACTAAAAATGCGGGATGAACAGGTGCCGCAATGGTCACTGCTTGCTACTGGCGAAGGGTTGCTGCGTGGTCGGTTGGGCGTCAGATTGTCGTCGTGGTGGAGCAAGTTGTGGCGCACGTACTTGTGCACCCGCACATACAGACAGCCTGCTTGCCGCACGGTTTTAAATGTTACCCGCGGCCTAGAACCGTTCGATTTGGATCCGCACGGTTGTTGGTCGATTTTGGTTAGCGAGAGTTAAGAGAGCAAGATATAAATGCCTCTTTCGAAGCGAGCGGAGATAGTGTTCCTAGACGGTACGTCTACTAACGTGAGCGAAGTACGGGCTTCGTCTGCTACGAGTCGTCATTTGCAGATGGAAATGAAACAAGAAAACACAGTACGTCGTCTGCTAACAAACCGGGAAAAAAAGCTGATCGTATGCTAAGAACCGAGCGCTGCGGCACAGCGGAATCGAACGCAGCATGAATTTGTGATCGTCTGCTACTTCACGTTGGAAGCCTTTGACAACACCCTCTTTGTTCGAAAATCTAGAATTTTTCTTATGCCGTGCACAAGCTAACATTTGAGAGTTTTAGAATAGGGGACTCCACGCTTTTGGGCCCCCGAGCAGCTTGGTTCGTTGCAATGAGCATGCGCACAACAACTACACATGCGTAGTGGTATATCCCAAGCAAATCGGGGGACTCAAAGATAAAGTTAAACCATGATTATCGGTTTCACATTATCAGCATAAATAAGCTACGCGTCGCAGAATGCTGAAACTTTGTGAGAAAATGACGTACGGGGTTGTGACAAGATACAAAAATTTGAGCACATGATGTTAGCTGGATCAAAAGATGAAGAATATAAACAAAAATTATCTACCAGCCGATCGACGTTCACCAATTTCTACCATGCGGGTATTTGAGTTTGCGCGTTGGCACCTGTAGCATTTGTTTTGTTTGGAAAAACAACATTGTTTCCTTGTTACTGAGAACATTTTTTTTTTACTTTACTGACATAGTTGGCACACGCGCCCACAATCTAAAGTTTTAATTTCATGAATCTTAGGTTTAGGTAACCATCGGCGCTCAGATAATTCTTTTTTAATCCTTTGATTTGGATAGTGTTATGTGGTCAAACTTTCGCGTTGCATCACCACCGCTAGCCTCACATTTTCACGGAGTTTCAGAATTCTGCGATTCGTAGTTTATTTAAGCGGGCCGAAAAACCCAGTTTCATTTTCTTGATCTGACCCTGTACATCTGAGGCAGCGATACAAATATCGCTATCTTTATGTCGGTGTGGCGCTTTTGCCAAAGAACTGCGCAGTCCGCCTTTTCCATTGGAGGTGGCACCCTCTTGTCCCGTGCCCAAAAATAGTCTAGTATACACTTTTTTCTGTTTCCTGTCGTTCTCAGTCACGTGAGTTCGGTATATAGTATGCGGGACGAAAAAAGAATAAAACATTTCAAAGTGGAATATGCGAGAAAATATAGATGAGTCGAAACAAGAATATGTGAAAATCACGCAGTTTTCGTAAACATTTTCTAGTGGCGTGGAAAGATCAAAACGATGTTTTACCGCATATTAGAAGTGGCGACATTCAAGAAGTCTGCGCCCGTGTGGAAAAGGTGTATTCGAGGCGAGAAGTTTGGGTATCGCCCCGTAGTGGAATCATTTCACAACCCCGGGTGTGGATGCTTCAACTTTCTTTGATGGTGCAAGCAAGTGCTTCTATGAAAATAAAAACATGACCACATGGGTGGCACATGCACTGCCCATAATGAGGAAAACAGCAGCGCTTCTCGCGTACTTCTCATCGCGAATAGGCTCCCGAGGGGTGCCAGAGTGGAGCTTTTGTTTTCCCGCCGCGCCGTTATTCGCCCAGATCGATTATGTGAGGAACAAAGAATCCTGCGCCATGCAGGAAAGTGGCTTCGCCGACGTTGCAGGCATCCAGGCGTATGTTCCCCTGCTTTTGCCTCCTTCTCCTCCTTTTCTGTTTTCCATGCGTGGCGGCGCGCGCGGCGCCGCTATTCGCCGAACTCAGTCACGTGACGATCAAAGAATCCCTGGCCGTACAGGAAAGCCGGCGCTACGGCCACCCGCCGAGGATGAACGCGCAACTTTGGCTCTCGTAGGGCGCCTGTAAAGGAACCCTAGGCTAGCGCACGAAAGAGCGCCTTCTAGCACGAGCACTTGGCATCACAAGCAAATACTTTACTAGTTACCAGTTACGGAGTTTGACTTATAGTTGAGGAGGGGTCCCACGGAGACATCACAGGCAGCCCAAGATGGGCACTCCTCCGTGAAGCCTAACTGTCTGCTAACTTTGACCCTTATAGACCAACTCGTGTTTACAAACAAACCGGAGAGCCCCTAGCGAACGCCACCGGCGCCGCGCATGCACAGTGGAGTGTGAAGCTTGCCGTCGGCCATAAACAAACCATTGAAGTGCCATGTTGCTGGCGTCGGTATGAGCCCACCTGCTCTTTTTCGTGTTGTCATTGTTCCTTATACGCTTTCCTGGCAATGCCTCACTACTTCAGCGACTCGTTACACCGCAAAACTTCGCGTGAATAGTGTGACATGCGGTGATTCATTCCGCGTGGACGCCGGAGAATGGACACTAAAGCCTGATTCGCATGATAAGATTCCCCTCAGAATTTTCAGTCGCGACGTTGCTCAGGCTGACAAAGCGTGAACCATAGCTAAGATGGTCGACGTCTGTGCCGAATATCGCAAGCAGAATCGAACCAAATGAATCAAGAATAACAAGTCGATGATAGCCACTGGTAACAACAATATCTACTGTTTGCACCGAGCCTGCTTACCCCAACCAATCACCTTGCAACTTAAAGTCTATTGAGGCCTGCACTTACTTCTTATCGAGATTACCCGGACAACATTTGGCCTACGGGCCGGTGTCGTCTGAAAGAGCAGAGGACAAGCAGAAACAAATCAAACAGCAGACGAGAGTTCGAACGATCAGGAGGCCGTTTGAACTTCAAGACGCACTGAACGTAGACCGCAGGTGTTCCGTACAACTTGAAGGTTTTTCCGCGTTCATGTTGGAAGAAAAGAAATAAATCCGATGACCACAAGTAACCGTGAACTCAACCCTAATTGCTTCCTGCCCAAGCATTCGTGGTCCGACGGCGTCTGGTTTTCTCTTTTCACGGCACATATCCACATATCCGAGCACCATGAAAGCGGACCTTCAAACCTTTCTCGACTCTTTTGGTACAGCCCCAGTCGTGGCGATTTGACAAGGAAGGTAGGTTTTTGTCTGGTTGCTTTTACAACAACGCAGGAACGCACTTCTCGCAAGGTGACTTCCGCCCTTAGCTCCAGATCGGAAGTGCGCTCGACGCGCAACCACCGCGCCGCGACGTAACAGAGTGGAGTTCGTGTATAGCCGAGAAGGGATCTCATGGAGACATGAGCAGCCAAAGTTGGGCACACTTCATGGAACCCAACTTTCTACTAGCTTTGATCCCTTATAGCCGGGGAGGAATCCCACGGAGACATTGCACGGGCCGCCCAAGTCGGGCATGCACCCGCGTTGCCCCAGTGGAGACCGCCTCTGCGTTAACTCTGCCCCCACATAGCCGAGGTGGATACACGGGTCATTGCACGGGCAGTCCAAGCTGGGCATGCCTACGTGTAGTCAAAGTTTTACCCACAAAGGTACTGTGTCGGCAGGCCACGTGGGCGTGCCCTCGGTTATCCCACAAATACGCTACCTTTGCCCTTGCATATTTGAGGCGGGACCCACGGGAGTATATCACAGGCAGCGCTAAATGGACATGCTCAAGCCCGACGTGGAACCAACGGGAATATTGCAAGGACTGTCCCAGACCAATTTGTCCACGTGAGGCTTACGTGGGACGACGTTCATGCGCTATTCGGCTTTATCGATCTTGTTGTTCCCACAGCCCGGTGTTTACTAACACGGAATAACAAAGAAATTGAACCTGGCCATGCATGGTCTGGGCACGAGCGCTTCACTCTTACCAGTACTTTGGTTGCACGAGGAGCGGCCATTCGAATCGTCACCATCGATATCGTTGATCAAAAACAAACAAGAAAATTTGGTTTGTTGTCCCCACAGTTGAAGCGTGCCGCCAGAGGCGTGACTGTTCGATCTCGTCAGCTCCCCCTACCAATTTTTATGAGAAAACGGAAGCCGAAACAGCTTCTACTATTAATAATAATAGTATCGATTGCTTACATTTCGACTATAATTTTTTTTTAAATATTGAATTGTGTAGTTTTTATTGTTCTCGGGGGAACAAAACATATTGAAAAAGATGTGCAAAGAGTGATTATTCCCCCGCATGATGTTGTTACTAGGTGCACCACACACAAAAAAAGTCGACCATGTTCTTTTTCTAATAGTTAGGAACCTAGCTGTCTGAAATAAAGCATATTATTGCACAGGTGCAGCTACTTTGGACACCGAGATCTCCTTACTTGAGGCCGGTGAAGGGGCACTTACGAGTAGGGTTCATGAAGGACTTTGCCCTACAGCGGAATGCATTCGCAAATTCAGGCATGTTCCTAAGCGGACCGTTGACCCTGTACCAGGCGGGGCTCCTAACACCACCATCGGACATCCAGCTGAGGAAGCGTGGTGTCGCGTTCTCGCACAGGCTGGCTGCGTAGTAGACAAAAAACAGCCTAGGTGCGTCGAGCACGTCTCCGTTTCTGGCTCCCATTCGAAGCAGCGTGTCTGTCTTTCTAAGGTACTGAAGAAAAGCATCAAAGGCCAGCGGTACGGCCATGGTATCCCAGAGGTCCTGCCAAGGTCGAGAGGTCGCGTTGATGAGAGTGACCACTGTTTTGCGCAGCCAAGACATTCTCTTGTAGTCGCGTCCTACGCAGTCGCGAGAAGCTTCGAACGCGCGCAAAAACTTGCGCTTGTTTCGCCGGCCCTGGTCGTAGACGTGTGTCCAATCGCGGATTGTTGCGAAAAGTTCACCGAAAATCTTCGGCCCAATTCTTGCTATTTGGAGCGCTCCCGTGATGCTTTCGTTGTACAAGTTAAGACTAAACGTAGACGGCGGTATTTCGAGTGTCCTGTATGGGTAAGAAAGCCGTGGACGGCTGCTGAGAAAGCCGCCTTTACCGTTGCTTTCTTTCCAAAGCAACGGTGACCACTTTCTTGAGGACAGGGTTAGCCACCGATAAAATGTGGCGGAAACGGAAGGGATGTGCGCCGGGTAAGCCTGGGTCACGTGTCGCGTGAGGAACGTCTGGTTGATCAGTATCGCAGGTACGAGCGGTTCCCAGGAAATCGTGTCAAGTCCAGTTACCAGGCGGCCTCGTAGAGCGTTGTTGAAGAACCGCAAGCCGAGTACGTGGGCTCGAAAGGCCTGGCGAAGTAAGGACATAAGCCACTGGATAAAGGCACGTCCTCCAAGTACACTTTCCGAGAAGCCCTTGGATAAGAGTAGCGGAAGATTGGGCTCGAAGCGGTTCAACATACGCAGGCAGACCTTGCTTTGCCGCTGAGCGTAGTTCATCACTGGGAAGGTGGTATAGGCGACCGACCCTAAGTTCGCTCTCACTTTAGAGTCTTCGTTAAGAGGAAGCAGGAGAGCGGCGATGCGGAAGAGCACGTAATTGATCAGGTCGATCGGCGGCGGTAGGGCGTCGTCAACTGCTAAGCCAAACAGGTATTCGGGAGATGCCAGTTTGACCGGCGTGGAAGGTGGAAGGTTGGGCTCGTCCAGGACAGCACGTAAGAGGGGTAACCATTCGATCCGCATCATAACTGGAAGTTGGGACACCATGAGAGAAGAACAGCCGTCGAAGTCCTGGTCCCCGTAGTGTCGGAAGTAGTTGGCCAGGCGCTGCTCCACGGCAAAGATGTCCGTGCGGAAGCTGTGTCGAAAGTAAGCGAGTAGCGGATCCAGGTACTGTATTGACCCTCTTTGGAGGGCGTGGTCCTGCCGGGTACGAACGAGAAGGGTTGATGGCTCTTGCACTACTATGAGCGTGCCATTCTTCATCGCTTCCATCTTCAACCATGAAATGAAAAAGAACATCTAAAATTAAAAGATACGATAACACAAACCGGACTGGCTCGTACCCAGCTTTAATCGGAGCTCAAGCACGCGCTCCCGTACCTTCGACCGCATAGCCACATAAAGTTGTCCCCGAGTGTAGTACGTTTTTCGAAAACCGAACCCCGATTTTTTCAGAGTGACAGCTGTCACTAGCCCATCCTCCGGGTTCGTGATGGCGTGAGCGTGAACGAATTCCGTTTCCCCGCTAAGTTTAACGACAAATTGATGTCGCGTGACGTGACGTCACGGGACTTAGATAAATTCAGGATCCCCGCTAAATTTAGCCGAAAACTTACGTCACGTGACCTATGCACAAATTCAGGTTCCCACTATATTTCGCGGAAACATTGACGTCACGTGACGTTTGCCCCCCTTCAGTTTTCCCGCTAAATTGGGCGGAAAAATTGATGTCACGTGACCGGCGTCACGGGCCCTACAGGCAAATACAGGTTCCCCGCTAAATTCAGCATAAAAAATTGCGTCAGCTGACCTATCTATTAACCAGTTCCTCCGCTAAAATTGGGGGAAAAAGATGTCACATGAGCTGACGTCACGGGCTCTGCAAACATATACAGGTTCCCCGCTAAATTTAGCGGAAAAATTTACGTCACGTGATCTATGCACCCATTTTGTCTGCACGCTTAATTTGGCGGGAAAACACATCACGACTTTGCTGTCGGTGCCTAAACGCATCACGTTGTGTGATCGTCGCCCACGTGATGCTAAACGCATCGACGTGATGCTAAACGTATCACGTCGTGGTTGTGGGAACGTTGTAGAATATAATAGAATACTTTATTTCAGACATACATGTGCCATACATATTTCTGGGGGGCTGCAGCAAAAGAAGGCAAAAAAGCCCTCCGACGAGGCCGCCAGCCCTCCCCCCGCCCCCCCCCCCCCCCCCTTCCATAGCAGTCAACAGAAACAGCATTCAATAATTTAGCAACAAGATTGAAATAAACATAGGCATCAGTAAACCATTGCGATCAATATCATCCATATAAACATATGAACAAAAGCAATGCGTCACAAACCCCCCCCCCCCAAAAAAAAAAAAAAGAAGAAATTATGAAAGAAAAAGAAGAGAAAACTGTATTCATTGACATTAACATCGTCATTATCAACCAAATCCTTCAGCGCACGTCTGGCATTAACACATCACAACACCTCGTAACACAATGAAAGACATAATGAAGGCACTATATTTGCAATAGGAGCACATAGAAGTTTCAATTTTTTACAATAATCTAAGGTAGGCGATCAGCTTCAATGAAATATGTTGACTTTTCCTGAACGCGTGGATTGTTCTACACGGCTGTGCTATTTGTACGATTGTTGGGTGTTTATTTAGTATGTTAGGAATTTGGTAATCTAGTTTTTTTTAGTTCCATAGTTAGTTCTAACATTTGGTTCTGTATGATTGGTACTCCTGAGATCGTATTCCGCAGGTTTATGAAGATAAGTACCAAGGAAATGTGTCTCATCGTGCTTGATCTGATCAAAAACTATGATCGCCAATTTGTGAGCGAGAACATGTTCTATTGGTAAAAACTTGTATTTTTCGAATGAGGGTGCTGTATGTTCGATGTAGCCTAAGTTGTCAATAATTCTTACAGCCTTCTTTTGTAAAATGAATATTTTCTCAGTGTTTGTTTTCGTTGTTGTGCCCCACACTAAAGGACAATATTGTAACCAACAATATACAAGAGCGTAGTACAGGTTTAGTTTGAGGCAGTTTGGTAGTAATTCCCTTAATTTGCGCAGCATTCCAATTGAACGTGAAATGTTACAACATCATGGCTCAATTAAGAATTCGGACCATCTTTTTAGACTGCAGCTCTTAGTAGCCCGTTTCCGGCTTGAGCGGCGTCGCCGTCGGCGTAACCGCAGGGTTGCATTACGGAACGTTTCTCATAATGATGTCCCACATAACGTCACACGTGACGTCACGAGGGTCACGAGCGACTTCACGAAGGTTACTCGTGAAGCTCACCACGAGGGTCACGAGCCACGTCACGAAGGTCACTCCTGAAGCTCACCACGAGGGTCACGACCATCACGAGGCCTTCACGAGTGTCGTCACGAGGGTCACGCGTGACGTCTCGAGGGAGGGAGAGGAGGAGATAGAGAGGAGGAAGGATGGACGGGGGAAGGGGGAGGATAAGGAGAGGAGGAAGAGGGGAGGAAGAGAGTGTACGGAGGAGGGCGAGGGGAATACTTTCCTCTCCGTACCGTCTCCACCTCCTCCTCAAAAGCTGCGCTCTAATTCGGCATTACGGGAAATTGTGAACGTCTTTCATATTTTTTTTTTATATGTAACACAGCGTTTAGAGATGATTTACAGTCCACAAATATTTCCAGTCTGTGGAATTTTAAGTATTGATGTAGTTAGCAGCTACAGGGTATGCGGAAGGGTGCTGGCTGTGGCCATTTATAAAAAAAAAAAAATAAGTTCACACATCAAATCGGCGAAAAATTGGGCCTAGAGCGGGGCCCGTTCCTGGCCCAATTTTTCGGCTGCCCTCTTCCGCTTTCCCTGTCCCTAACTTTGATGGTATAAATTTAATTATCACTCTCTCCCTTCTTCGTTTTTAATATTACTACGGCTGCACTTGTCAATCGTCCCTCACTCACAATGTTTATACGGTGCAGTCTGTCCCCATGGGGAGGAGTGGTGTCCCAAATACCTTGGAAGACGGGCCCTTTTCGACATTTGCAAGCTGAAATGACGTGCCACGTCACTGCCGCTACTCGGAACTACCATGGGCTTTAAATCAGCAACGGCTGTCGTCTACCCAGTTAAGCGAATTCGAAACTGACAGGAAAAAACGGAGAGCCGGTCAAAAATTGAGTACGCCGAAACCAGAGGTCAAGATTTTCTAATATAAAAAAAAGGAAAGAAGAACAGAGATGGTCTATTTGGTCAAGCCGCCGCCCCGGATAGGCGGGTTGCGGGTTCGATCCCCGCTCCTGGCCGAATTTTTCGCAGGCTCCCTTTCCTGTTCCATTCCCCTAACGCTGATGAAATTAATTGAATATTCACTCCCTTCCCTGTTCGTTTTCAATATATATATATATATATATATATATATATATATATACAACGGGCATGGTGGCGGGAGACCGAAGGCGTGGGTATATATGCTTATATATAGGCTTCCTGACGAAGGCCGGACTCCGGCCGAAACGTCCAAGATTAAATCTTCCGTTGTTGCTGTTTTCACTAAGGGTTTTTTTCTTCTCAGTTATATATATATATATATATATATATATATATATATATATATATATATATATATATATATATATATATATATATATATATTATATATATATATATATATATATATATATATAAACGAATATGTGCAGATGAATGAACCATAATTAACCCAATGAATCAAAGAATTGAAGTTTTCAGGAACCCGCCGAAAGCCAAAAAACGGCGGAGCCATTTTTATATATATGTATATAAAAATGTATATATATATATATATATAATATATATATATATTATATATATATATATATATCTTCATCTGCATATGTTCGTTTATTTCCTCCTCGGAGACCACGTACGATAATCAAAAAGTGCCCGTGATGTGTATTCTATAACGTGGCTTTGACTCTCAAAGATGATGATGACTCCGTGTTTCTAAAAGCTCATAAACAAAAAGAATAATACATGTACACGTGACGAGACAAATAGTGGAAGGATTTCTGGAGTACAACGAGCATGTACCACTTGACAACAAGCGTCGTACAGCGTTCCACACGGCGGCTTGTGCTTCCAGAACACCTCTGATTGTATACATTTCGTTTCTTGTGCATTAATAAGACAGATAGGAAACACCAGAAAGCCAAGGTGGAGTGGTGTAGCGGTGTAGTGGTCAGCACACCCGACTGGACATTGGGAGACACAGAGTTCAAATCCTGGTTCCTTCTTTTGGCTTTCGGCGGGTTCGTAAAACTTTGATTCTTTGGTTCATTGAATTAAGTAGGGTTTATTCGTATGCATATGTTCTTGTATATATATATATATATTTCTTCTTAGGAGTATATCAACAATAACGGTCTGTGCACTCGTTATTTGATGAAGAGCGGTCCCCGCTCGAAACGTCGTAATAAACATCGAATTAGTTACTCCGACAGTACGCCCCATCTTTGGCTTATATATATATATATATATATATATATATATATATATATATATATATATAGAAAACGAAATGAAAAATATATTAAATATTTCAATATATATATTGAAAAAATTGTAAAAGATGCAAAGCATGTCAGTAGGCCTATACGCTTTGGATTCTCGTTGAGCTAATTAACAACACCTAAAAGTAAAATAAAATGTGTTCTACTTTTATAACAAAAACTGCAAATAATGAATTATATACGTTGTCCCTGTGAGTAAAAAACTGTTTTGACTTAAAGGAAGCTGACAGGGAAAGCAGGTTGAACAGAACAGCGCGTGCAAAGACAAGGACAGAGAAAAGGAACATGCAGGACACACAAGCGCTTGTGTGTCCTGCATGTTCCTTTTCTCTGTTCTTGTCTTTGTGTGCGCTGTTCTGTTCAACATGTCATCATACCAACTCGCCCAACTTACAACACTTCTGCAGGGAAAGCAGGCCAGAGCAATTTCCCTCCCTGTCCAACTACCAGCAACAGGTGATCGACGTGCTGCCGTGGTGATGAGCGTGGCCTTTAGTTACTTTGCTATGCCTTTATGGCGGGCTCAGTAGCCCGGTTTCATCGTTCAATTGATTTGTCACGTTTTCTATGCAGAAACAAATTATGTTCTATTGTAGTTTAGGAATTCGTAATGGATTAAAATATTCCTACTATATTTGTAGAAATGCGAGATTTTATTCCCACCTTCGAGATTTTGAAGACAGCGTCAATGCCCAGGAGTCGATTCGCCGTACCAAGGATGACCGAGAGCTGAGTGGACGAGACGTACTTCTCCCACGTTGCGTTCAGTTGAGCGACGCCAAGCGATTCCCTGAAGAGATCCAGCAGGTCGTGGTAAACCCGCGGCCTCGGAGAGAGACACTCGCGGAACAGGAAGCGCAGCTCCGCGTATTCCGTGCGCTTGTCTTTGATAGCCGCGACGAGCATATTCCCGTAGGTCTCTTCCATGATATCATCGGTAGACAGGCTCTCCTGACCGGGTTTCAGCGGATGAGCCTCAATCCAGTTGCGACAGACGTGCTCGTAGAAGTCGTCGCAGGGGTCCACTGAGCTGTTAAGCTGTCGCAGAACAATACGGGACTGCTCCAGACAAGCGGCCGACACGCAGGGTCCCCAAGGGATGGCAACATCCGCGGCTTCTTCCGCTGTGGAAGACAAGTCTACATCGCTGGATTTTGATCTCGGGCCTAAAGACAGAAGCGACACTATCAGCGACGGTGTTTCCGGAGCCGACGCCCAGACAAATGTGCTAATGACGGCTGCTGCGAGCAAGAAGGCGAAAAGAAATATAGTGGCTTCCCAGCAGAGTGTAGCCGGACTGCAAATGCACTTGGTGACGAGCACGTCGTTGGTTATGGGAGGGTTTTCGCTTATTGCAAGGTCGGTGACAACTTGTCGCGATTCCGCCACGTAGGTTTCACTTTCCGAGCTACTCGTGGAGCTATTCTCTTCGCTCGCGGTGCTGTAGTTGCTGCTGTCCGTGGTCGGGCTGGGACTGTGAACGCCGGGGCGGCCTGCCCGAGTCATGCCGTTGAGGTTCGACGTGGCTGATGTAAACCTAGCCGGACAGATCGACTGATTAGCCTGCAGGGCCAGCAGGGCCTATTGGAAGCAGAGCTCGAGATGGCACTCGAGCCGTGAAGCTGAGGCAAGTGCGCAGCTGCATTTCTTTTTTTTTTTTTTGGCTCGTGCACACCATACTCTTGCACTGATGTCGCATTAACAGCCATTGCGAAGGCCTTGATACCGAGCGTGTTACATTCTGTAGCGTAAATTTCACGCCATCATGTCTTTTTTTTTTTTGAAGAACTAGAAAGTACCACCAGCAGAATGCGATGTCGTTACGTGCAAGCCATGCATTACTCTAGTATTACACTACAAAAAGAAACAAAAAAACTTGAGCTTGTTTTTATCGCGCCGCCAACGAGCGCATTACAATTTCAACAACGTTTTACAATGTCTTTTTGGGCGGACATCGGGCGGACATTTTACAATGTCCGCCCGATGCCCGGCATCGGGGGCTCGTGCTCCTGCTCGTGAGCTTACGCGCTCACGTGCTCCTCTGCTCGTGTAGAGAAAAAAAAAAACAAAAAAAAAAAAACGCATCTCCACGTGGTGAATGATGTTGATTGGGGCGAAGCTCTGGTGGCGCTTGTCTGCGTATACGGTGAGCCGCAGCATGCCGAGCCTTTCGTTCGTTTTCATCCATGTCAGAAAGAGAATGTGTGGTATGGAGCTTGGTTATATACGCATTTGAGCATTTGACCGCAGCGTGACATGGATGGAAACGAACGAAAGGCTCGGCATGCTGCGGCTCAGCGTGTACGCAGGCAAGCACTACCAGAGCTTTGCCCCAATCAACATCATTCACCACGTGGAAATGTTTTTTTTTTATGTCTTGGTTATGCCAGAACGTTCACCTCTCATTACTCTTCGATTCAATCTGAATCAGGAAAATTATGCAGCAATTCCATTTGTCACCAACAATATATCGGTAGCTAGCGCATTTTAGTTACTTGGGAGGTCAGGATCCACGCAGCTGCGACATCATCACTTACAGTAAATGTTAGAGATGCAATTAGCACTTGCGCATCAGGGTCCGTTTTGCCCGAAGCCGGTTAACTTTAACTGCAGTAAAAGGTTAACCGCCCTTCCCTAGGTGCATACAAGTGCCTAGTCACGTTTGACGAAAGCTTGACCAACTCAATACTCGTAGACGAGGGCTCGATGAATGACAGCTCCGTGTCTCATTATGGTGTGGTAGCTGGTGTCACCCACTGGTTGTAGTGAATATAAGTGGCTTTCGTAGAAAAGTTCCCGAAAAGGGGGGACCCACTGGGGGACCCAAGAACGCGCGCTACCGGGTTTTGAGACGCAGCGCGGCATACATCTGAGCTTAAGAAACACTTTTTGTAGCTCGCGGTGCATATATTGGGTAAGCTAAAACTAAATTGACCCTTGTTTGAAAAGTTTCTAAATGTTTGGCTGTCGAAAGTAAAGTCAAGCCTCGTTGAAATTTTCTTTTAAGTTCGAAAGAGGACGACGAAGTTTAGTCCTAGAAACGATGAGGAAGAAGGGAGCAGTGAAAGTCGGGCCGTACACCGGCAGCATGGTTGGCCTGCATGTAAGGACTGTATATAACACCACCATAAAGTGAAAACCGTGTAGGTCGGTTTCAGTAAATGTGGTATTCGTAGTCGGCGAGGAAAGAAAGCACAGCCGTCCATGTTAACTAAGTAACTCCTCCTTCTTCTAAGCCCCAGGGCTTATACCACATCTTCCCCTCTTTATTTTTCCGGCTTTTCTTTTGTATCTACAGGTTCAGTCTTTGGACGGGCTAAACTACGCATCCGCTTCTTGTGACTGGAAGTTGGGAAGTCGACGGCACCGGGCACGACAATGCTTGATTGCGAACGGTCTCGTCAGCTGCTCGTGCGTTCCCTATGGGTATTTCCATTGGAATTAAGAGGAATCTGTACCGTCACACTTCCCCTCTTGGCGTCTTTACTATCTAGGACCTGGGCGGTCCTGCAGTTCTCTTCACGAGTCCGTCGGTCTTCTGGTCAGTGATCCACACTTTTTCCCCTTCCTCAATTGGCTTCAAGGGGCGTGCATCGTGTCTCTTGTAGAAGTTGGTTTTCTGTGTTTGTCCTTTTACTCCCATTCCCGGAGCTCTGTGTGATCGGGAGTTTTTGGCTCCAGAAGGTGGTTTGCTACTGGAAGGGACGGGCCAATGCGGCGTCCCATCAGAAGTTCTGCAGGGCTCAAGCCATTCCCCAGTGGCGTTGCTCGGTATGCCTGCAGTGCCCGATAGGCATCATCAGTTTTTTTTCAGCTGACCTTAATTATCTTCACGCCAGCTTTCACGAACCCGTTGCTCTGCGAAAACTTAGGGATGGATGTAAGATGATGAAACTTCAACTCTCGCGCAAACTGTGTAAACTTGGAGTTCACCAGTCGTTGAAACTGAGGTCCGTTGTCACTGTGCATAATCTCTGGTGTACCATGCCCTGCGAACATGGACTTCAGGTAATTAATTACTGAGCTCGCTGACAAACTGCTCAAAGGAGTCACCACTGGGTACCTTGAGTAGTAGTCCGTAAGAAGTAGATACCACTTCAGTTGCAAGTAGAAGAGATCCATCCCGACACGCTGCCAAGGTCTGTCTGAAAATATAGTAGGGATGAGAGGTTCAGGGCGATTGCTTCTCTCCTGAATGCAGCGTGTGCATTGTCTCACATACGCTTCTATTTGTGTAGACAGTCGTGGCCACTAGACAGACTCTTTCGCTCGAGCTCGACACCTGGTGGTACCTTAATGACCTTCATGTATACTCTCCAGTATCTCTTTTTGTAATAAGAATGGAATGATGATACTGGGCCTTCTCATACGGAGTTTCCTTCAACGGCAATCTCGCTTCTGTGTTGTCAGTAATGCACACATTTGGTGTCCACAGAGCTTTTTGAGGGTCAGCCATGCATGCTGCAGTTCCTTAGCAGCTGGCAGGTGTCATCACTTACTTGCTTTTCTTGAATTTGTTTTAGTCTATTTGGTGATGCTGGTAGACTGAGAGTAATACCTTTTACATAGGCTGCTATTTTGCCTTACATTCGTTTGCCTGGGTCCGACTTTGGTGGGTTTCTTGAGAGCGTATCTGTAGTCACCAGATATTTGCGTGGGATGTGTCTAGTCTCGTACGAGTACCTCATCATTCTGAGCTTCATGCGTTGGAGTCTTCGTGTGATGTCCTCCAAGCGCTGTGATGTCAATATCGGAACCAGGGGCTTATGATCTGTCTTAATCATAATTTTCATACCCGTGATGATGTCCCGAAATCTCTCGCAACCCCATACTACAGCTAGCCCTTCTTTTTCTATCTGGGCGCAGCGCCTCTCTGCCTCGCTCATTGTCCGCGACGCATAAGCTACAGGTTTATACTGTCCATTTTCTTTTTCCTGGCGAAGTACCGCCCGAATTCCGAAAGATGGCGCATCAGTGCACAGCACAGCTGGCTTCTTGGGTCCGAATAAAGCTAGTACTGGACTTGAGGTGATTGCCAGTTTCAACTTTACGAAAGATCGCTGTTGGTCTTCTCCACAGCTCCAGTGATTTTTAGAGCTAAGAAGTGTGGTCAGCGCATATGACACTTGACGTTCAAAGGTGTCTTCATTTCTTTGACAGCTTCCACCTTTGCTTCGTCAGAGTGAATTCCTTAGTCAATGATATGTCCCAAGAACTTGATGCGCGTGACTCCAAACTGACTTCTGTTCACGTTCAACGTTATGCCTGTTTGTTGAAGACGGAATAAGACAGCTCGAAGTCGCTTACCGTATTCCTGTCTAACTACCCATACACGAGAATGTCGTTCATATTACATACGTTTCCTTCGATGTCAATCAGGACGTGACTTATCTTGCGTTGGTAAAACTCTGGAGCAGATGTGATTATAAACGGCAGTCGCTTAAACTTGTATCTTCCGAAAGGTGTAAGAATGTTGTCAGGATTTGTGATTCTTCGGCGAGCTCGAATTGCCAAAACCATGAATTTGCGTCCATTTTCGAGAAACATTTTGCTCGCAACATGTAACATAGCTTATTATCGAAACAATCTACGACAAAAAAAAAAAAAAAAAAAAAGGTGCGTACGACAAAACAGAAGAGTTCGTATTCACGAACAGAAATTGTAAGTTTTCCGTAAGCCACGATGAAATCCTACGACAGCTCGAGAGGGTTACGCATTTTTTACAATCCTATCCAAATGGCCAGCAACATCGTTCGCTTATACGTAGTCGCGACGGGAATTTCTATGTGCCCCCCGCGCGCGTCCCGACTTCAAGCTGCAAGAAAAAAAAGTACTTAAAACTGAAAGCCCCGGAGACAAACACTGAAAGGACGGATACCGGAAAAAGCTACAAGGATTCCAACGACCAAGCGACCGCTAAGGACTAGTGAGGAACGCTAGGCCTAGCAAGGCACTCCGACCCAACGTTGCTCCGACGCCGCCCGAGGAGAAGGCGTACTGCCCACGACCGGCTGGCTTCCTGAATGGAATTTGCACATGAGAACTTTTTTGACCCCTCCCTTATAACTAGTTTGAACCCTGATCTATATTTTGGGCTAGGAAGGTCAGACTTTCCACTCGCCGTCCCTAGCTTGTCTTCAGATGCCGCGGTGGCGAACGCTCTCTTCGGAAAAGGACACTTTCCTCAATTCTATCTACTTTCTTGTGTAATTTTTTTTGCTTATTTTTTGTGTCTCAAGATGACCCCCATTTTTATATAAGGCACTTAAGTACAACATATAGCATGCTCACTAACAGTTATGCATTCATAAGAACATGCATACACCCACGCCTACAATCTTATAAAAAAGGTTTAAAACGATATGGTAGCTATGTATAGTATACAACAGGGATGGGCAAAATACATGCAAATATTTATCGAAATACAAATACAAAATGCTTCATCAAAAATATATTTAACTACAAATCTAATTAAATTTCTAAAAAAGCATTTAAGTACAAGATACAAATACAACAAAATGTATTTGGTCTCCTCCAAATACGTTTCCAACTGCATTCCTCAAAATTTGCGTCAGCGACTTCAGGGCAGCTGCAACGGGTTTCTAGTTATCTCATTTTAATTTTGCATCGCACACTCGGGAGGTAGTGTGCGAGGCGCTAATAACGTAATAGGAATATAATCAAAAATAAATGTAATCAGCTTGGACTTAATAGGTGAAAAAAGTACAGAGCTTCAAGCAGCTTTTTTTGTCGATTACATTTTGGTATAGACCAACAAAGAATCGAGACGACCAAGACGTGCAGCACTTGCTAGAGAATTTTTTATTGTTGCAACTCACACCAGTTACGAAAATCTGGACTACCCGCGCATTTAGAATGTTGCAGGCAAAAATATGGATGGAAATCAGGCTGGAAAACATCACAGTTGTCACAGGCACTTATTTAGCCAATCTGCCTGTGAACATCGATTTCGTCACTTTTCTTGCCCTGGACTAGCACCGTAATCACAAAGTCACTAAACGCTCGTGCTTGATTGAGAGAGACTGCATTCGGCGCAGAACGTAGTTTTCTTCCTGCTCTAGACAGCGTCTTTGAAATAAAGCCGGAGGAGAAAAAGAAAAAAAAGCCCCATGGCCGAATAAAGGATGGAGACTATATCTTACAACCAGATGCATAAAAACAAGATGTATTTTCGCCCACAAAATTGTATTGAATTACAATTGTATTTGAAATACCTACGTTTTAGTATCTAAATACACACGTCAAATACATTACCCAATTTGTAATTAAATACAAATCCAAAATACACGAAGTATTTGAAATACTGCCCATCCCTGGTATACAAGAATGACTCAACCTCAGGTTTAAAATGTTCGTAATTAGCAAAAATATCCAGAGAGTCGAACATGTCATTAAAATCAAGTTGCATGTGAGTAATGGGACATAGCTTCTCCTGACGGAAAGGATAAAACATCTTTGTTACTTAAAACTATTCCACGTGGGATTGCGTTTGAAGTGTAGTGCTTTATTGAACATTAAAAATATGTATAACTTTTACGGTAAACCTGTCAAGCACAAAAACATAAGACTTTAGCGAAATGCCGTGTTAAGTTATAGTTCAAAATTAAAATAGTATCAACCCCGCGATTGAGTTCCAAACCTATACGACGTAAGATATATAAAATTTTCAGTTCTATTAATTCACCAGGCGGATGCCGGGCCCTTCCTATGACTCGTCAATTTGTCATCTCCAGTGTCTGTGAGGGGATTGTTTCTTGCGGTACGGATATTCTCTGAATCTCTCGCAGTACTCCATTAGAACGGTGTGGTTAAGGAAGGCATCAGGACTCAATTCATGATGCCAGTTCATTGCCTCGTAGAGCAGGAAGTCGACGTATGTGAGCCTGGTCCCGAGGACCCACTGTCGTCCTTCCAAGTACTCCGCCCAGGGTTCCAGCATGCTTCCCATGTTCTTCCTGTAGTTGTTCAACAAGCATCCAGAAGCAGGATTTGTGGTGATGGCGATGGCCAGGTTGGTCGACAGCTCCTGAGCCCACTGCTCCAAGTCTTTAAGCTGAGCGGCTTCCTGGACCGACCTGTGGGAATGGTTGTAACGAGAATGTTAACAGCATAGTTTTCTGCTAGACCCACCATTTAAAGTCCAAATAAATCATACTTCCTTTCTGCATCTTAATTTTTGGCTGTTAGACGTTGCCTTTTTATATCTGCTTTCAGTAAAACTATATACAGCCACTGACAGCTTAACAAAAACTGGACGTGACGACTCCCGCGCAGCCTATTCATGCTTCGGAGCCAATGAAAATGCGACATTACCAGGTAAGTACACAGAGGAGCAAATGAGAAAGCAAGGAGAGAGAAGATAATAAGCCACCTCCAGCGTTTTTGATGCTGCCAGAGACTATAGTCAGTGTCTCGATATGAACTCAGTAGAAACCCGGCCTTCAGCACGCTCTCGTTTGCTTCCGTCGTACATTGACTCGCCAGACGCCGAACTGCGATTGAAGGTAGAAAGCTCGAGCTCAAGATAGAGCTTCTACTTCATTCTTAACAGTCTTTCGGGCTTTACCGATAAAAAGTAACGAAATACGTTACTCGTTACTTGCAAATACTACTTGCAAAATGTTACTTGCAAATATTACTTGCAAAAAAAAAAACGTTAACGTTTTTGTTTTTTTTTTTAATCTGGGGAAGAATATGTAACGAGTGACGTAATTTCGTTAGCCGTCACTTGCAATTAGTAACGTAAGTACGGCACACTTTACTGTTTTGAAAAGTGTTACGAGTATGTCATTGGGTTACCGTGAAAAAGTAAAACGCTCTACCGGTAGCGCCGTTAGTTCTAACGCGTTAGCGCATACACCGATTCTTAACTTTATCCCGATTATAAGAACTGGCACTGTCATATGCCTAAAATATTTTTAAATATCTACGTTGCTACGCAAATTATGAAGTAGACATCTTCTTTAATGTCATTGGAGATAAGTGGGGACTTTCTGTGTGATTCTACACAAAAGTATATTTGTTTTATATTTTCAAATCCGCACAAATCCTTACAAGAGACTTCGTTGGGCTTTGCCACTTTTGCATCGGCCTCCCCTCCGGATTAATATAAAAATGAAAAGGGTCAATACAATAAGCAGGAAATGCATCACCAACCTTATTCTACGCTTGCGCACAAATATGAAAAATAATTCCGAAAGCAAACACTATTTTAATAAAAATACTTTAAGGAACTCAAGGTGAGCGACTAGCAAACGTATCATAGTTCAACGATTTTTATCGTTTGCTTGTGCCTTCTTTATTTTTTTTAGTAGAAGCGAGGTTAGCTATATCGGTTTCGTAATTTCTTCTATACACAAAACATAAGATTCGTTAGGTTTTTTTAGCTTTTACCGCTGTTTCAAGCATGATAAGTTTTTTTAACGTGTTGTAATTAAAACAATGTTGAACGTTTGAAGATATGAGGCTGATGTCAATGAACACAAATTAAAATTGTATTGCATATTGTAATACTCAATCCTCGAGATTGTCTTTCGGGCTTTTAATCTCCCTTTTTGTCATGTTTCTACGCGACGAAAAGTATCACAATCGCATTGTTCCCGGAGACAGTTTTTCTTCATATTAATCTAAACGCTATATTTTATTTCTCTGTAACTTGGCCAAGAGTAAACGCGTTCGCTTCATGGGCCAATCAGAGCGACAGATGACTGTCCTTACAATTTGTACAAGGGCAAGAGAATAACCCATGCAGTGAAAGGGGGGGGGGGAGGGAGGAAGGAAGAACTTCCCTCCCACCCGAACTCTCTTTAGTTTGTTAAATTGCCGCTTTTGTCTTCCATAAAGATTAGCCTTTCACTTAAGATTCGTACAAAACCCGCTTTCTTCCCTCTCCCGCAGCACTGTGAACAACCAGTAAGATAGAATATAGTTTCGTGTCTCTATCCAACGTGCATATTGGCTCGCTGGGACCTCGTAGCCCTCGCCGCTTCCCAAGGTACGGTGATACAAAGTTACCAGTGTCGTGTCAGCGGCTTACTCACCTACTTTCTTGAGATAAAAAAAATACGCGCGTTTTCATCTATCTAGTACATTTTATAAACCGTAGAAAAACTTCCTTACCTAGCACCAAGACCATGCGTCTCGGCGACGTCTCTCATAATGGCGACACATTGTTCAGTATTTTTGTCACCATTCACGCAGCTTAGTGGATGCGAGGTTTGGAGGCCGACCGATGACGATGCGTTGAACGCAAGAGACCCGACGTGTTTTACGGGTCTTTTTGTGTAGAGACACGCTTTTGTGAACGTCCTCTTTTTATGAATAAACTGGGCCAGGCTCCTCATCTCCCAGTATCCTGCAGGCGTGCACTCCATGGTTGATCTCGGAATACTTTTGCTGTTGCACCTAGGTCTGTGAAGGTAGAAGGATCCGGATTATTTTCTGGTGATCAAACGTAAGATCAAACATCACAATGAGCGGACGAGGTAGATTCCGCGTGAAGGGAACAGCACCAAGATATTATTGTCACTTCAAACTACGCTGAAATAGTTAGCACTCAGGCGATCATGCTCAGGTATAACGACGCATAACATTTTTCCGAAAAAGAAACGTTTCCGTACTATTCTTGATTAACAGGAATAAAGAATTAAGATCTTCAAAGAGTTTGGTAGACGTTTTAACGAAAGCGCAACTACCTTTTAATTTACTTCACAAAACGGTGAGTAAGTGAAATTTCTTCCAAAATACGGCAACACACTCGCTCAGAATTGGATGGGCAGTATTTCAAATACAAGTATTTGAAATACGTATTTCAAATACTTAAATGCGAAAGGAACTCCTAGAAGGTGCACTGTTCCAACGCTTTCAGCGTTGTGCTATGTGCAGACGCGTTTTGATGCGCGGGGCTTTGTTCTCTATTTTCTTTGGATCGCGATCACAATGAAACAGTTGAAATTAGTAACTTTGAATTGCGTTAGCCTGCTGGCTCGAATAAGGAAACAATGGGCGTTAAACACGCTGTTGAAAGAGAACGCAGACATCGTGTTTCTACAGGAAACGAAACTCTCCTCCGATTCTCAGGTGCAAGAATCGGCTCGATTCCTTGAGAGACATTTCAGTTTGTTTCATTCGAATGCGATCGCACAGAGTGGGGGGGGGGGGGGGAGGGGGGCGGCTATCCTTGTTCGCAAAGATAGTGCTCTCGCCGTGGCTTCCGGAGTGGGAAAGTGATAGGAGCGGTCGGGTGTGTGCAGTGGAACTGCTGTGTCATTGTGAGCTCTTTAAAGTGGTGTGTGTTCACGCCCCCAACACACCAGAAGATCGCAAGTCTTTTTTTATCAATCTACGACAATACTTAGACACATCGGCAAAGACGATACTAGCTGATGACTTTAACTGTATTGTAAATTCGCGAGACTGCTCAAACGGGCTCCATTCTGATTCGAGCGTTGGAGAGCTTAAGAAGTTATTACGGGATTTTGACCTTCAAGATGTGACGGAAGTGGCGTCGGCGCCGTGGCCCGGCTATGCCCATTGGCAGGACAATTGTCACTCGCGCCTCAATCGTGTGTATGCGTCAAGCGAATGCGTAGCGACTGCGGAAGCATACAAGGTCAATGCCGTCGCTTTCTCGGACCATGCAATCGTTTCAGTGCGGGTGCGACAAAGCAAACCTAAAGTAAAGAAAACTTCAGGGTGGAGTTCTTGGAAAATGAACGAGAGCCTGCTAGAAGAGAAGCCGCTTGCCGTCAAAATAGAGGAAGTTACACGCGAAACAAACAAGGCTGGCGTAGACGCTGTTAGGTGGGAACTCGTGAAGGAAGAGGTCAAATTAATCACCTTTCGGTATAGCCAGGAAAAGGCTGCTCAAACGCGGGCGGAGAAGCGCACCCTTGAATTAACTCTGAAAACTTTAATCGGTGAACAAAGCCGAACCCCAGGCGTGTTCACTAGCGATATTCGCGAATGCAAGTCACGACTCCTCTCGATTATGGAAGGGGCATATCGTGGTACATTGGTGCGATGCCGGTTGCATGCGTTAGACACAGAAGTAAAGCCGGTTAAAATCTTTAAAACGAAAGAGCGCAATCACATCCGCCGAAATAAAATAACTTCTCTGCAAGTCGGGGAACAGGTTTTTTCAGAGCAGGACGACATCGAACATGAACTCGTAGACACATTCACTAGGCTGTTGAGTGTGCAGAAAGAGGTAGATGAGACCACTCTAGAAAAATGTTTTGAAGCCATGCCGAAAATTCCTCCGGAGATTTCTGAGGAAATAAATGGGGAAATCACCGAAAAAGAAATAGGAGAGGCGATTAAGGAACTTAACACCAGAAAGTCGCCAGGTGTAGATGGGCTGGGTTCTGCATTTTATAAAAAGTTTTCAAGCCTTCTAATTCCGATACTCCGAAGTGTGCAGTGATGGGCAGTATTTCAAATACAAGTATTTGAAAGACGTATTTCAAATACTTTGTGTATTTTGCATTTGTATTTAATTACAAATTGGGTAATGTATTTAAAGTCTGTATTTAAATAATAAAACGTGGGTATTTCAAATACAATTGTAATTAAATACAAATTTGTGGGCGAAAATACATCCCTCAAGTTTATTTTCACTGTCCAGACCAGGAAGAAAACTATGTTTTGCCCCGAATACAGTGCCTCTCAATCAAGCACACGCGTTTAGCGGCTTTGTGATTACGATGCTAGTCCACGGCAAGAATAGTGACGAAATCGACATTCACAGGCACACTGGCTAAATAAGTGCCTGTGAAAACTTGTGATGCTTTCCAGTCTGATTTCCATTCATATTTTTGCCTGGAACTTTCTAAATGCGCGGGTCGTTCACATTTTCGTAACTGGTGCGAGTTGCAACAGTAAAAAATTCTCTAGTTAGTGCTGCGCGTCTTGGTCGTCTTGGTTCTTTGTTGGTCTCTGTATACCAAAATGTAATCGACAAAAAAAAGCTGCTTGAAGCTCTGTACTTTTTTCAGTTATTACGTCCAAGCTTACATTTCTTTTGTGGTTATATTTCGATTACGTTACTAGAGCCTCGCACACTTACTCCCGAGTGTGTGATGCAAAATTAAAATGAGATACCCAGAAACCCGTTGCAGGTGCCCTGAAATCGCTGACGTAAATTTTGAGGAATGTATTTGGAAAAGTA